GACAGGCCAATCTAGAACTTGTGATCTACCTAGCTGTACTTTCTGAGTGCTGGAATTATACTTTTGGACTCCCACACCTGTCTAAATGAATATTTTAGCAATACCTTTGCCCTTTATCTTTTCTAGGGGAAATATAATTATGTGAACCATGGGGTGCATCTTCTAGTACTACCATACAAATTTTTTTTTGGCGGGTCGTAGGGCCTGGGCACTGTCCCTCAGCTCTTCAGCTCAAGGCTAGCACTCTACCACAGCACCACTTCTGGCTTTTCTGCTTATGTGGTGCTGAGGAATGGAACCCAGGGCCTCATGCATGCAAGGTAAGCATTCTAGCACTGAGCCACCTTCCAACAACCACCAGACAAGTATATAAAGAATTTACCCATTCCACTCTGGTATCTGTATACCACCATTGCCCATTTTCTTTTTCTTTTCTTTTTTTTATTGTCAAGGTAATGTACAGAGGGGTTGCAGTAACGTAAGTAACGTAATAAGTACATTTCTTGTCAAACTTGTTACACCTTCCCTCATTTTTCTCCTCCTTTCCCTTTCCCCCATCCTCCCCCAAGTTGTACTAATCATTTCCAACATATTGTCTTGTGAATATCACTGTTGCATTGGTTCCCTGTTTGTCCTTTGTCTCAACATTCTATTGTTCTACTTCCCTTCCCTAATTCAGATAAATGTATATTCAATACCCAGGGTACCAAAATCAAATACAGTGACAACAGGGGATATACCATAGGGGGAAGAACACACAAAAGAAACAAGGAATCACACAGTACATTAAAAACAACAACAAAGAAAAACCTCTTCTGTCCTTGTCTTGGAGTTCATTTCACTTAGCATCATCTCATATGGTCATATGTATATGGCTATTGAGCTATTCTGTTTATCTGCTAAGATTATCTTAGTTGTATACTAATTATTGCAAATAAGGGAAACCATGGGACCTGTGTTTCTTTGGGCCTGCCTTATTTCACTTAATATGATTTTTTCTAAGTCTTTCCATTTCCTTACAAATAGGGTAGTGTTAATTCTTTTTGATGGAAACATAAAATATCATTTATATATATATATATGTATATATATATATCACATTTTCTTGATCCTTTCATCTACTGAGGGGTATCTGAGTTGATGCCATATCTTAGCTATGGTGAATAATGCTACGATAAGCATATTTGTCTTGTAGCTTTAGTATGGCCTTGTATGTGATCATTTGGATCATTTTCTACAATAACAGTTCTAACTTCTCCAGTTTCCCCAAATTTCCAATTCTTATCACCTGCCTTTTCATCTTCTATTTTTGTTGTTGTTGTTGGTGTTGGTCATAGGCATTGAACTCTGGGCCTGGGTGCTGTCCCTCAGCTCTTCAGCTCAAGGCAAGGCGAGTGCTCTACCACTTGAGCCATAGCACCACTTCCAGTTTTTCAAAGTGTTTTGTTGGCAATATGAGTCTCACGGACTTTTGTGCCCAGGCTGGCTTTAAACGGTGAGCCTCAGCTCTCAGCCTCCTGAGTAGCTAGGATTACAGGCGTGAGCCACAGGAGCCTGGCTCTCATCTTCTATTAATTAACAAAGATAATATGTTTGATTAGATGAGAATTCCTTTAACTTCCTCATATCAAAACAACAAATCTACCCACATCCATCCACATTCTCAAGCAGATGTGTAGTTGTCCAAGTCCCTCCATATAACAGGTTGAACCATGTGACCTTATCAATCAATATATAAACACTTTTTACCTATATGAGAAATGGATTTATATGAGTGAAAGTAATAGTTTTTGTAATGATTGTTCAAACACGTTCTATACTCAACTCCCCTTGCAATGCCAGAATATTTACTGAGTAGCTTCTACAATTGTAAAAACTATCAAAATAGCCTGGGTGCTTATGCCTGTAATCCTAGCTACTCAAGATGCTGAGAGCCAAGGATCTTGGCAACTTGGACTCCTATTCAGCTACCTAAGAACAGACTTAACAGAATAGATTACTGTAGTTTGTTTTTTGAGTTAATTAACTCTTCATACATAAATGCTTTAGCTTCCTCAAGAGAAATGATTATATCCTAGCCTTTGCCTCCTTTCAGGCACCTAGAAAGTCATAGGTCAGTCCGTGTCTTCGCTCTTTTGAGGCATGCACCCTGTGACCCAATGTGCTTTTTTACTATCTGATGGGCAACTCTCCAGTGAGTCCTTAGTTGCCATGGCAAATCCACCTGCTAGTAATGCTCTTAGTTGTAGTTAAGTACTACTTTTATACATCTTGAAGTTTTTCCAGAGTTGCTAGACCTCGCATGGAAATAATAAAATTCGATCTCACAGTGTGATTCTCCTCTGTAAAATTTGTTCTTTATCCTTAAGTTCTGTTTTTCTAATACATGCCATGGTCATGGGTGCAGTAATCCTTCATTAGAATCTATACTATATAGAGGAAATATTGATGACAGAAGACACTAAGATATATTGAACACAACACTATTTCAAGTTCTTAGAGAAATCTCTCTAGCCTCAGTACCCTGCATTGAAAAATGGGCATAAAATTTCTTTTATTTATTTATTTTAACTTTTTATTTTGAAAATACCATACAGAGGGGTTACAATTACATGGGCAAGGTAATGAGTACATTTCTTATCATCAAGCATAAGAACCTCACATAGATGTTGAGTAAATCTCATTAAGAAACATACTCATTTAAAACTGTAGAGTTCTATATAAGTGAAAGCTATTAATTATCAGAGTAACTTCATTTTACCCTTTGTTTTCTAAATCCTCCATGAAAACAATGGTACAACCTTGAGTTAGAGACTGCTCTAAAATCACTCTTACTAATGCATTAAACACAGGCAGAAAGAGCCTCAAGAAGTAAGGTAGCCTACCTGATATATCCAAATGACATTTGTATTTAGTTAAAGGAATATAATGGAGAGTATATTATAGTAAAGTATTTTCTAGTATAAGAACGTGATTTTCTTTTGCTTCTTTAGTATGTTCTTCCCCCTATGGAATATTCCCTGTTGTCACTGTATTTGATTGTGGTACCCTGCATCTTGTATATACATTTATCTAATTTAGGGAGGGGAAGGGAAAGGTGAATAACAAAATGCTGAAACAATGACACAGGATGACCCATTGCAACAAGAAGACTCACAAGACACTATGTTGGAAATGAATTTTACAAATTTGGGAGGCTGGGAGAGGAAGGAATGGAGGAGGTGAGGGAGGGACGGGATGGTAGGAGATAAACAAAGGAAGGGGTAACAATGTTCAAAAAGAAACGTACTCATTACCTTACTCATGTCACTGTAACCCCTCTGTACAGCATCTTTACAATCAAATACATTTAAAAAAAAAGAATTCAGGTAGGATACCTGTAGAGCCTGCACCTTGAACCACCATGTTCAGCAACCTCTTTGAGAACCTTCTCACTATTGTAGTCACTGTTGTGACCGAAAGAAACCCCATTGTTCTTCATCTCTGAATCACTGAGTGAGTTTCTGGTCAGAGCACATGCTAATTCCCAGGATTAAAGGACACATACACACAAAACCCCAAATGCTAAGATATCTATCCAAGGGAAAAGAACCTAAGATATTCTTTGGAAAAAGACTGTAATGTCAAAAGAAAATGTTCTGCAAAGATTTGCTTCAATGAGATAATACAGTTAATGCACTTTCAGGGAGGGAGGAAAGTGAGAACACTGTTTGAAAACCATGCTTTGATTGTTTGTGAAGACTTTTTCTGGACTGATATGATGAATGGGTAGTTTCTGTCACTGCTCACATTCATGGTCATATGGATAGGAGAAGTGAGGGGGAGAGAAGACGAGAAAGAGAAAGCATGATCCTTTAGCGAGTTTTAAGAATAAAATCTGTGATTGTATATTAATTCCTTTTATCACTTGTCTCCTTCTCCTGTTATGGATGAAGTTCATCCTCAAGTCAACTTTCTGGTTTTGTGTCGCAAATGGTCTATGACACATTGTTTTTGCAGATAAATATTTACCAATTATGTATGAGGTACATGCTTCTACCTGTCTAGAACAGCCACTGAAATCAGGCACTCTTTATGTTAGTACGAAAGCAAATAGGAAGAAAAATATTTTATTAAAAAATAATCTAGAGCAGGGAGGGTGGCTCAATGGTAGAGTGCTTGCCTTGCATGCATGAAGCCCTGGGTTTGATTCTTCAGCACCACATAAGCAAAAAAAAAGCCAGAAGTGGTGCTGTGGCTCAAGTGGTAGAGTGCTAGTCTTGAGCTGAAGAGCTGAGGGACAGTGCCCAGGCCCAGAGTTCAGGCCCCAGGCCCAACAAAAAAGAAAAAAGAAAAAAAAATCTAGGCCCAGTATGGTAGCACATATCCATAATGCCAGCTACTAGAGGAGTGGAAACAGGAGGGCCTTGAGCCCCTACTGAAAAACCAATTCAAAGGAAAAGAAATGAGGTGTGGCTCTAGTGTGAGAGCGCTTGCTTGGAAACACTGAAGGGAGCAAGGGAGGGGAGTGGCAAGGAAAGAAGAAGGGAGGGAAAGGAAAGAATGTATACTTTGAAAAGGAATATATGCTTTGGAGTGTATCTACATGGCTTAGGAAATCTACTCACACAATTTCTCACTTATGAAATACTCCTAAGACATCACACAGTCACAATAATGCTTCTTACGTTAGAAATGGAATGATTCAGAACGTAATCACATCATTTTTCAATGAGAATTTTGTTACAAAACAAGCTCCATTTTATGAATGATGATTTAGGTAGGAAGACAGTGAAATGATACATCCAGCCTCCTTAAGCTTAAAAACTTTTCAGTCAATTCCTCCAGAAAAGGCATCATTAGTCCTCTGAAAGTCTCCTAGCAATTTTCTGTACCTCTGCTAGTTAATTTGTGTACAATTACACAAAAACAACAGCTAGTGTTCAATTTGTTTCTAATATACATTTGTCTCTCCAAGGCCAGCTCTCCTGGGTGGTAGAACAAATACATTGAAGCCATGGATGATTGCACTCATTGGTACAGCTGTTGTTTTGGCTCTAGCAATAATCATTGGTCTCCTTATTTACTTTTTAGCATATGGTAAGTTTGTGTTTTATTTATTATTTTTGGAAATTTGATGACCCTTTCAATTTCTTTCAAAATCTTCAAATTATTCCATGCCTCATTTGGGAAATAATAATCTTTTATATATAAAAAATTTGTTAGCATTTAAAAATCTAGTGTGTTTTGTATAATATTACCTTTTGAACAAAGCAAAAACTTCACAAGCTAAAATACTTTGTGAAATCATACCTACAATATTTGCAACAAGAGAGTTTTATTATGCTATTTCCTTTTAGGCACACAGTGTACATTGAATCAATTCTCTTCTCCATCATATTCCTATTGCTTCCATCCCTCCTCCTCACTTTACAGACAGCATTTGTTGGGTTTCATTATATTATATTCATATAGTAGATATGAATATAGGTAAATATATTGTACATATATGTGTACATATATGTGTATGTGATCCTCCTCTGACCCCTTTTACATTCATGAACTGTTTCCATGACTAGCATCATCATCATCATTCTAAGCTCTGTAATCCATAAATAAGAAAGAACATGAATTGTATTTGGCTTTTGAGCTTGGCTTTTCTCACTCAAAATGATGATTTCCCTAGCCACCTATTTTCATGAAAATGATGTAACTTCGTTCTTCTTCATGATTAATAGTCTATGAAGATATATGTATCCCATAGATTTTTGAGTTGTTGAGTACCTTGGTGGATTCCACAGTTTGAACAGATTTGCAGTAAAAATGGCTATGTATGTTATCTCTTGCTACTAAGTTACTACTTACATTCAGATATATACTCAAGAATGGTATGTTGAGGTCATACTATAGGTAACTTTAAAAATGGTTTTTTGAGGATCCCTCAAATTGATTTTTGGAGTAGTTACCTTCTCACCAGCGGTAGTTTCTTTTTTTCTAACATGTTTGTTTTTTATGTTCTCTGTTTCATATATTTACACAAGTTCCATACATTAGAGAGAAAACAGTGGCTTCTATTTTTCCTTCCAGATCAGAGGTCTCACTATTACCAAGCTTCTTTCCAGATCCCCAGTATGGAATATGATCCTGAGTTTTCTGTAGAACACTCAAGAGCTAGTCATGCCTTGAAAGAAAAAATTAACACTGAGGTAAGTCAGAGCTTTCCTCGCATCATTCCTACTCAGGAAGTTCTGATCAGCCCAGGTGTAGAGGGGAATGGCAGAGTACTTCGATATAGGAAGCAACATATTTAATTAGAGACATCTCAGCATGTGGAGTCAGAAACATCTAAATACATATTCCAATTTTGTGGGTGGTAATAACTAAGTTGAGAATATGTCCACTTACATCCATGTTAAGCTTCCCAGATAAAATATGCAATGCACATGTAAGTTTTAATTTCACATTCTATTATAAGAATGATTTCATAACAAGAAGGTTATTATACCTAAATGAGCTTTTCAGGGATAACTACTAACAAGCATTAAATAATATATATCATAGAAAGTTTTCATGTAAGTACTTTGTGACATATTGAAATATATATAATTCATACTTAACAAAATTGTATTTTTTCTTTTCTCAGATAGATCAGATATTTCAAAGATCCATTTTAAGCCAACATTACGTCAAGTCTCATGTTGTCAACTTTAGGTAATTCTAATTAATTCATATAATAAAATACCACAAATTATAACATATAATACATTAATGTACATAATTATTTATACAATTATTTTATATAATGCAGCCACACAATAATTTTATATGACTTTATATAATTATTTTATATTGTAGTCTTACATTAATATTTTCCTGAATGGAGTGTTTATAATGGAGTATTTATAAGTAATAATGTAATATTACTAGGTGTCATTTTATAGTACTTAGCATGTCAATTGAAGATTCTTACTATCACATATAAAAGGTACACATATAAACTCATGACCAGAACTATTTATTTATTTTAAATCCAAATTCTACATTTGTGAGATACTTTCCCTTCCTTGATTATGATGGAATTTTATAAGCAAGGAATGATTCAAATATAACACCAAGGTGGTACATCCAGAGGGGAAAAGTCATGCCAATAAAATACCTATGTTGCATTTGTAAAGCTATACGTAATATTTAGTGTAATGATTACTGTGACTATGATCTCACTCAGTTTGGTGTTTTTGATTTTTCAGGCCAACTAATAGAGGTTTGAAAACAGATGTATTGTTTCTATTTCAAACTCCATCTGTCAAAGCAGACACTATTAAATGGCAAGCTGATAATATTTTGCATGAGAATTTGAAATCGAACAAGAGCTTCTTGAAGACAGATATTTCATTACCTCATCTTAGAGGCAAGGAATGTTACTTCTGCTTTCCTTTGTTATAGTTAATGATTTTTAACATTCTTCATAAGAAAGAAAACTCTCACCACAAAATGAAATCACTTTTCAGTTGTAAAGATTATAGTAACTTGAAGATGGACAAGTCATCATACAATCAACATGAAAGCTTTTTTCCTTTGGCTAGCATAATAATAATTATGAAACATGAATGGTATGGCTAGCAAAATACACTAGGATTTCTTTCCTTTTATAAAAGTTATTTTATTATATGAAGTAATTGTGTAACTAACTTATGTTATTAATTAGTTGTATAAAGTATTAGTGAACTTAAAAAAATCATATCTTATGGGCATGGTATTGTACATTTTAGCAGTTGCATCAATTATGAATTATTTTTGTTTTTTTCCAGAAATGCATGGAACACAAGCAAAGCACATTCTGAATAGCTGTGAGTTAACGGATATCACTGAGATGACCATAAACCAAAGAATAATACTACAAAGCATTCGCCCTTTCTCTATTCCCATGTTTAGTGTTTCCTAAACATTAAATTATTATCTAAATAAATATGTTGTTTTAATCTTTCGAACAGGAAACCATTATTGTTAGCTGGGAATATTTACATGAATTCCTTGGACAATTTTTCTCTTCCCCACAGAAAGTTTCATTAGTGACTTCTTTTACCATATCTGTGTATTTTTGTTTTTAATTTACTTTTCTCGTAGGGTTGTGTGTACAGTCCTGGGACTTGAGCTCAGAACTTGGGTATTGTCACTGAGGGTTTTGTTTATTTGTTTGTTTGTCTGTTGTTCAAGGCTACCACTGTGCCACTTGAGCCACAGCCTCACTTCTGGCTGTTTGGTGGTTAGTTGGAGATAAAAGTCTCCCATACTTTCCTCTTCTGGCTGGCTTCCAACCGTGAGCTCAGATCTAGGCCTTCAGAGTAGCTGGGATTATAAGCATGAGCCACTGGCTCCCTGCTCCATATTTACCTATGATTGTCTTATTTTGTAGTAGAAAAATTGGCTCAGGGGTAAATGATATCCATTAACTCTAATATGGAAATTAATACTTGAACTATAGTAATAATGTATTTGTACTAAATTAATGCATTTAAAAACAGTACAAATGATGTCTTCCTACCATACATAGTGTGTGTTTAGCTCTCAAAAATGGCAAGTATCACTGAGTTAAACTGCTTCACATATGAACATGAGAGACACATGAATAAAACAAAACTTAAAGGAAGTTGCTTCAAGCACTCCAAAGAAAGTGTTGAATAATCTTTAAATGTTTTAATTTAATAATAGAAATACTCATATTCTATCAATATGAATAGTCATCAGTCCACTAAGTGTACTATTTATTCCAACAGACTTTTTAAATGCAAGTGACAGTCATCAGTGTTTCTTAGTTAATGGATGTAACCATTTTGCTCCTTTGTGACAGGTTGTGGTTTAGGAATGGAGTACCCAACCATGGAAAGAATTGCTGGTGGCAAAACTGCAGATCAAGCTGCCTGGCCATGGCAAGCCAGCCTTCAGATGGATGGCAGCCATTGGTGTGGTGCATCACTGATCAGCGAGGAATGGCTCCTGACTGCTGCTCACTGTTTTGACAAGTAAGTCCTGCCACCCACAAGGGTGCCAGTGCCATCTCTTTTTCTCACCTTCACATCCAGGCATGTTTATCTCTCTCATGAACATCTTCTTCATGAACATCTAGGCCTCCCAATGATTCCACTCAGGACTGTCCACAGGCCTAGGAAGAAGTGACAATTACTGAAGAATAATAGACATAATTAGAGAGACTGTCTTCAGCTCAAGCCAATAACACATTCAGCTGCAATCTCAATTCATTTCTTAAGTATGGATAAGCCACTGCTGTCCAAAATTGAGCCAAGTTTACCAATTTTCCTGAGCTATATTATAGATTTTTTAAAACTCCACTAACATAGCAGCCATACCTGCAATTTACCCTAAGATTTTCAGGGGTGAAGAACATTGGAACTGTGGGCAAAAGATTATACACCCTTATATGATGCTGTATTTTTTATTTTCTGTATGCCTTTTAAAAATTTGACATTCATTCCCTTTGAAGAAAAAAAGAGATGTAGTAACATTAGTGAAGTATATATAAAATGGGAAAATAGCCAGGTGCTGGTGGTTCACACCTGTAATTCTAGCTACTAGGGACGCTGAGATCTGAGTATCATGGTTAAAGCCATCCTGGACAGGAAAGTCCACGAGACTCTTCAGTTAATTACCACACAAAAAAATTGGAACAGAAATTGTGACTCAAATGGTAGAGTGATAGCCTTGAAAAGCAAAAAAAGCTCAGAGACCAATACTCAGGCCCTGAATTCAAGCCTTGAAACTGGCACACACACACAAAAAAGCGTGAGGGAAATATATTAGATAAAATGCTCTGTGGAAAAGAAGCATAAAAGAATGTATTTGAAATGACTCCATTTTTCTTAGTGTCTCCCTTTTTATTTTTCTATCTCTCTCAATAGCTACACACATGTAAATACATACAAATATACATATGAACATATATAAATATATAATTGCATAGTTATGGGCATGTATGTGTACACACATGAAAATATTCAGGTAAAAATGTCTCCTGTTTTTCTTCAATGAATCTGTATTATGGCAGTATTGTATGATTTTAAAAATACAAACTTACCTCGAGGAGAGTAATTGAAGCCACCTTACAGTGGAGGGGGTTGGTTACCTACTAGACAAAAGAAAAATTGCTCTAGGGAGGAAGTTTTGAATAATCACTTTTAAAAATTTGCCCTTCTCCCATATTTATGTCCCGCGCCCATTCAGATTTCTGGGCAACTTAAAATGCAGAATGACCCCATTGTGCTCTTTTTACTCCATGATCAGTTCCAAAAACCCGAAACTATGGACAGTCAGTTTTGGAACAACCCTCAGACCTCCGCTGATGAGCAGAAGAGTGGAGTCAATTATTATTCATGAGAACTATGCCGCCCACGAGCATGATGATGACATCGCTGTGGTGAGACTCTCCACGCCTGTATTCTTCTCTGAAGATGTGCATAGAGTCTGCCTCCCAGAGGCTACTTTGGAAGTCTTGCCTAAGAGCAAAGTGTTTGTCACTGGATGGGGAGCAACAAAGGTCAATGGTAAGTGTCTCAGAAAAAACAATAGAGCAAAAAGGGTAGATTCAACCACTTTCCAAATGGAGATACACAACAAAATTGAAAAACAGATATATAGATATAGATAATATGAGAATAAATACTAATACCTTACAATAGATACAGAAAAGGCAAACATAAAACCAGGTATGATGAATTATGAAAACTGTATTAACTATTACTAGTACATAATACCTATATTTGTTTCCATTTGTTTTTATTTTTAATTTTTGCCAGTCATGTGGCTTGAACTCTGGATCTGGGCACTGTCCCTCAGCTCTTATGTTCAAGGCTAGTGCTCTACCACTTGGGCCACAGCACCACTTATTTGTTTCCAGTTATATAGACTATTTTAGAACCTTGATAACATTTTCTTTAAGAAATACTTAAAGCTTATCATTTCACTTGATGTGACTTGCAAGTACTAAGAATGTCAGGCTGCTGAGATGTGTTATGCAGCTAAACAGAAATAGCCATACATCAGGAATCAGGATGGGGTACCTCTCATTCATGTATTTATGAAGCTGTTCTTGAGCCTGATACTTTATAAAGTTCACAGCAATTTCATCTTACTCCACTTTATAATTCACAATAAGCTGAAAGAGTAGACTTTTAAATATTGATAGGAATTCTCAGCATCTACATTCTCAGTTAGACTTTTTACATATGGTTTGTCCTACCTTCAGATTCCTAATTCTTATTCTTTGCTCTGAATCTGAATTGATATCTTACATATGGACTTACTCAAAGCACCTTTTTGATCAGACTTTATCAGTGGATAATTATAGAAATGCACTTCTTTCCAAATGTACTTGGAAAAAGTTTAAATTTTAATTGTAGAGGTGATGTACACAGGAGTTACATGTCACATAAATCAGGTAATAAGTACATTTCTTTTTAAACAGTGTCACCTCTTACTTGAAAATTTGACATTGGGTCCACTGTCATTTTTTTTAGTAGTAGTACCAGAATCAGAACTCAGGGTTTTCATACTTGTTTGGTTTGCTTGCTCAGCTAATACTCTATTAGTTGTGCCATGCTTCTACCTCAGCTTTATGCTGCTCAATTTGAGGTAGAGTCTTTTGGACTTTTCTTCCCAGGCTGGCTTTGAAATGGGATCATTGAGATCTTAACCTTCTGAGTAGCTATGGTTATAGGCATAAACCACCAGTGCTCAACTTAGAGCCCAAGAGTTTTTTTAATCACTCAGTGTTGGCATTGTTTTATAGGAAATGGTATTGAATAAAAAAATAAAATTAAACCTTTAAGTTTTAAAACAACTTCTGGTGAGAGTAGAAATGGGAAGCATTGCATTTTTTCCCTAGATTTAATTAAACACTTAGTACTAGTTATAAGGCATATTTTGGATTTCATCATGAACTTTTCAAAGCACAGTAGTGTGCAGATAACTGTATGGTGTGCTATCTACTCTAACAAGTTGTATAGTTGTATACTTTTCAAAAATAATACTGTACATAGGTAACACTTCAAACTGAAGCCCACAAATAGATATTTGAGCATGGTTTCTGAATTTCAAAACTGAAATAAGGACTACTTAGGTTTCCTTTTCTTGCCTTTCAGGATTTATTCAATTTAAAATGTTACCTGGTAGGCAAACTGAAACTTTCTGTTCTCAGAAATTCTTTCCTGAATTATTGGTAGTATAAAGTATCTTCTTATATGATAAGCACTTGCATGTTTTTGAAGTTTAGGTAATGGAGCTTGAACTCAGGGCCTGGGCCCTATTCTTTTTTTTAATTCTTTTTGTTATTAGTAAGTTTTTTATTGTGAAAATACTATACAGAGGGGTTACAGTTACATGAACAAGGTAATGTGTACATTTCTTATTAAGCATTGTTGCCTCCTCCTCTGTTTTTCCCCTACCATCCTTCCATCCCACCGCCACAACTACACTTTCCCCTCCCCCAACCCCACCTAAATTGTAGTTTGTTTTTTCAACATAGTGTCTTGTACATCTCATTGTTGCAATGGGTCAACCTGTATCGTATCCCTATTTAAACATTTTGTTTTTCCCCTTCCTCTCCCCAAATTATACCAACATCAAATACAGTGAAAACAGGGATTATACCGTGGGGGAGGAACGTACAAAGCAACAAAAAAAATCACATGGTACATTATAAATACATTAGAAACAATAGCAAGAAAGAAAAAAAAACACTTGTGTCCTTATCTTGGGGTTCATTTCACTTAACTTCATCTTATCTAGTCATATGTACATAGCTTTTGACCTTTTCTACTTGTCAAAACAGACAAACTTTGCAGGATGGAATAGGAGAAGCCCTGTTCTTGATCTGTTTTGCTCAAGGCTAGTGCTCTATCACTATGAGCCAAAGCTCTATTTCCAGATTTTAGGTGGTAAATTGGAGATAAGTCTCACTGCCTTTCCTGTCCCAGCTGGCTTTGAACTATGATTCTCAGATTTCAGTCTCCTGAGAAGCTAGGATTACAGGCATGAGCACCAGTGTCCAGCTACATCTGAATTTTTTTTTAATTGAGATTAAGGTATGATAAACATTTACCCTTTAAAAGTAGCATCCTATATCAACTAGCTAAAATAAAATTACAAATTACAAATAATTGTGATATATAAAAATCTGAATGCCTTTCTAGAAAACCCAAATAGTATGTATGTATATATATATATATATACACACACAGATATATATATATATATATATATATATATATATATATATATCTGAGATACTTGGACATGTAAGTAGTTTCACTTGCATAAAAATCTGTGTAAAGAGAAATTGAAGAGCAGATTCTCTCACTGAGTATTCATAGAAAAATGCTAGAGGAGTGACCCAGGTGAATAAATTCACCATAGTCTTGATGATCTTCAAGGACTGTAGAGATTTTAAACATATAATTTGAGCAACATAGTCTCAGGTGAGTAGATTTATCTCTCACTAATAGTATTTATAGAAAAATGCTAGAGGATTATGACCCAGATGAACAAATTCACCATAGTCTTGATGATCTTCAAGGTCTGTAGAGAAGTTAAACATATATTCTGAGCAACGTAGTCTTAGGTGAGTAGATTTATCAGCTGGGTTTCTTTATACTGAAAATTCTTTATAAAACCCTGAGATACCTTAATCTTCTCTTATAAAAGCTGGTGAGGTAAAGTAATCTTAAGTCAGCTAGGGGAAGCACAGATTCTCCTAATTGTTGAGGAATACCCTGAGTTTAAATCTAGCATTTTCTTCTATTTAGCTATATAATTATGGCAAGACTCCTAGGCAGGTAAGGTTTGGTCTCCCATCCTTTGGTTTCTGCAAGAACAAATAAGATTGTAGGAGTAAATGGGCTGGACATGGTATCTGTCATAGAAGTCTTCCCCCAAAATGTAACTTGTTTCCAAGCACAGTAATCTAGTACAGAAACCTATTAACTCAAGATGAATGATTTACCATTGATCTGCCTTATGTGAGACAAAACAATTAACTATCATAACAAGAAAGTAGAAATTCTTCACCTATTTATTTTTTTTCTTACTAAGGTCCTTTTCCCAATACTCTACGACAAGTTGAAGTAGAGATCATAAGTAATGATGTATGTAATCAAGTTAATGTATATGGTGGTGCTGTATCATCAGGTATGATATGTGCTGGATTCTTGACAGGAAAACATGATGCTTGTGAGGTAAGAATAGATGCAAATTAAAAAATGACTGTTGAATATGGGTGGACTTAGCCACTGGTGTTAGTCAGACTTTCATTGCCTTTGACAAAGACTTGAGAGAAACAGATGGAGGAAAGAAAAGTTTCAGTCATGCTGGCATGCTCGATCACATTTAGACTGTATAGTAAGTTTCAACATATGCCAGAGAGCATTTAGTGGGAAAGAACAACTCAGCCAAATGGTGGCCAGGTGATGGAGAGGAGGGACCAGGAAGGGGCCCAAGGACCAGATATAGCTCCCAAGCACATGACTTCAGTGACTTACCTCCTCCAACTAGGCCCATGTTGAGAGGTACCCACACCTTCAATAATGTCATCAAATCAAGCATCCATGAATGGATTAATCTATCCATTAGATCAGAGCTTTCATGTTCAAATCATCTCTTAATGATTGGACCCACTAATTGGGGACCACATCATCAACAAATAACGTTTTGGGGACATTCCTTATCTAAATCATAACACTGGCAATAGACCAATGTTACCTCACTTGATTCTGTGAAATAAATTTATGGGAGAGAAAAAAATGTATTAAAAATTAAAAAAAAATCTATTAACCCATCTGAAAATGGTCTTCAGTTGCAAAATAGAACTCTAATTGGAGACTAGGAAGTAGTAGCCAATTGAAGAATAAGAAGTAGTAACCAAGAAAAAAAAGCTATTCAATCAATGCTTTAAGGCACAGATAAAATCAACAGTTAGGTATGCAGTCCCTCCTAACTGAAAGCTATGATGAGATGGACCCTGCAGACATTTCCACAGACAATAACATTTCACTTTTCCAGTTTCTAAGGCTTTGACCTTAAAAAGTGTAGATCCAGATGGCAGAATATGTGTCCTCCCACTGGAACAAAGGAGAGACCATTTGGGCCAAGATATAACAAAATCATATAACCTAGAGAAGAAAAAGATGTATGTCTGTATAGGAGTAGATATTCTCTTTTCATTGGTTTATACTTCCTTGCTTCCTTGTACCACATTAGCACAGTAAATTATTGAGGAATTACATTAGGGTGAATACCTAAGGGAAGGGAGTTAGAAGACGGTTTTTGGTAAACAAAGGTTTCCACACTTTGTGCAATGAACACTATAGAGGAATAAAAATGTGAAGAAAATGGAAGAGGAAAAAGCTTAAGGCATAGGACTCAAGAAGCTCATAGTTTCTTCAAACAGGATCATTTTTGTGATTAAAAATACTTGTGATAGCTTTCACATTATATTTCCTTAAAGCAATATGTTTATTTTGAAAAGGTACATTGAAAATACTTCTTAACCTTAGTCAAAGATACAGGACATTTCTCATGATTAAGGAACCATAAGCCAGTTCATTATGACTAGGGATTTCATCTTGGTTTGAGAGAAAACAGTAATAACTTGTGTACAATTGATGCAATTACTAGGATGCCTTCTTATTAATTGGTATGAGTGGAACAAAGTGAGATTTTGATTCAATACAGGATATTATTTCTATCTAATAGAGTTAGGAGGAGCTTAGTGTCAGAGATGGCACTTTACTTGAATACTGGCTTCATCATTTATAAGAAAATTTGAGACTTCCTAGACTTAAGTTTAGTTTCTGGTCTCTGTTTAGACAAAGAAAAACTAAAACCTTAGCCTTATTCACAAAAACTTCCAGATGAAGACACAGAGGAGTAAATAATTAACTCAATTATCATAGTAATACTAAGTCAAATAAATTAGTTTTACATATTTCAACTCAATATATGGATTTCTTAAACATCTAAATGGAAACTGATTCTCATTCTGACATCAATTGATCCATCACAGTGACTGTTTTTTTTTTTTTCTTCTTCTGCAGGGTGATTCTGGAGGACCTCTGGTTATTACACTTGATAGAAATATCTGGTATCTTATTGGGATAGTAAGCTGGGGTATAGGCTGTGGAAAAGAAAACAAGCCTGGACTTTATACCAGAGTGACTCATTATCGGGACTGGATTAAATCTAAAACTAACATCTAGTGTGTCAACTACCTCCACATTCAAACTGTAGATGTCATGTGTGGTCTCCAGCAAATCATGCTTAGTGTGTGTGGCCATGTGTATTGTCAATGTCAAGTTGAAAGTAGGTGTAGCTAAATATGAAGAAAGAAGTCTTTTACTTCATCAGAAATGCTTTGCTCATCATGAGCACAGAAGACGCTGGCAACTCGAGGAAGATCTGTCATTCCTCAAAGTGTCTCTTCTTACCTCTTTGCTCATCTTTCAGTCCCTAATACTATCTGTATATAATCTGGTATTTTAATTAAGTAAATCACAATTGGTTTGGCATTCCACACTTGTTTCCTAATAGAGCAGGCCTCTCTTCTGTAGTGGCACCACCATTTGTCGGCTTCCTCTTCAGAGAATTCTCATTAAGAGTAGCAAGTCAAGATAGTTAATTTTGGTCAGTGTTGTCACAAATGATAGTGGGTGCACTAGTTGTAAAACTAAGACTAAGACTTAAGAGATGGCACTTTCATTTTTGCTCTCAAATGTGCATTTAACAGCTCTGAAATATGAACATTGGTCATTATTTATATTTGCATCCAGTGGGCAGATTTTAATTTTTTTTAATGATTTTGATACATGTTTTGAAGTAGTGAAAAAAAATCCTTGCATGATATAGAAGGCGAATTGTAAATATTGCCTAAGACAGGATTTGTCTTTGAACTATGTAATAGTGCCGGTGGCTCATGATGCGATCCTAGCTATTCAGAAGGCTGAGATCTGGGGATCCATGGCTCAAAGCCAGTCTGGGCAGGAAAGTCCATGAGATTCTTATCTCCAATTAACCACCAGAATACCCTAAGTGGTGCTATGACTCCACTAGAGCACTAGCTTTGAACAGAAAAGCTCAGGGACAGTTCCCAGGCCCTGAGTTTGAGCCTATGACTAACAAAAATAGAGAAAAAAAAAGAAAAAAAATGTCTTTCAAGACTCAGAAATTAAAGGCCAAGTTTCTTTGCCTTTAATTTTAATTTCTATTCATTTGAAATGTAAAGAGGCCAGATGTCAATGAGAAGGAATTCTTTTTCAGCTCCATCTCTAAAAGTGGTAGAAGATTCCTTTCTTGTGTAAACATACTTTTCAGTTGCACTTCATTAACTATAATATATTTTTAAACAGTTTTATTTTCAACAAGATTTAGAACAATTTAGGGACCTGAGGAATGAGAAAGTCGTCAGTGCAGACACAATTTACAGGAGAAACCAAAATAAAGTGAGACATGCATAAGCAGTAATGGTACAAGACTTGAAGATGTTTACTAAAAAAAGATGCTTGGGAAAGTACAAGACAAAGACACTATACTGTTAACAAATACAATGTTTAAATTTATGTAAAAATGACATGCAGTGTTTGCTGAATGGTATTTATAGAAAAAGTTCAGATGATCAAGCAGACATCTTGGAAGAGCTTAATATTTTTGATATGATTGTTCTTTTATATGTATTACAGGTTTTCTAATTCTGTGTATGACTACAGAGTAATATTAAACAAAACTCAAAATTATTCTATGCATCTAAACTTTATTCATTTTACATTTCTTATTGAAATAAATATTATTTTAAAACCAATAATAATTTAAATTTAATTCTCAAGTTTACTTGCACAAGGAGTTGCCATTCCACAACATAGATTATGAATATAACAATATTGATCAATATCAGCCATTTCATCATTCTCTCCCATGCCTAACTCAGAACACCCTTCAATTTTTTTAATTTTAAAGAATATGCATTGAATTTTATGACTGCATTCTTCCCCCTTCCTCTATCATATGCTAAGATTTTGTGGGGATTTTTTAATCAAATAGATGTCTCTCCTACCCCCATATCATATCATATATAAATTCAATATATCATAATATATTCAAATATATCTGTGACAATAGGCTCAAATCAATTCTCCTTGATTCGTCACTAAGATGTAGAGCTTCTCAGCCTTTGAAGGAAACAACAAATTTGTGACAGTTTGTCACAGTAATTCTCTTTTGAGGAAGGCGACTGTCCTTCATACTGTTCAATGCCTAACAACATTCCATATTTCCATACATTGGATTCCAATAGTGTTCCATCAAGATATATCAACCAAAAATGACTCTAGACATTGCCAGTTGTACCCCTGAGAACATTACAGAATAGGCAACATATGATCACTGGTTAAAAAAATTGTACACTCACAATTCCTACGCATATTTGAAAATATTCCCTTCCTTTGTTGATCTGGGTGCATTGAAAATGTCAAAAAAAATCTCTTAGGTTATGTCTGCACAATCCTAGCCAGATTATTTGCAAACTGAAGTTAGTTAGAGGAAGACTGAGGACCGGGCTACTACAGAGAGAGCATTCACATATCCAAAATCTTACAATGTATTTGTCATATGCTTAATTTCTGCATCATTGTACCAAGTATGTCTACTTAATCCACAAAATACATAAGGACCATTTGAAATGGGGTCTATGAATTCAGGAGGCACACAGCTTATTAGCCACTCAATGTTGCGAAGTACAGAATATTAAGTTGCAGAATAACGCTAAGCACTAAAAGCTAAAATGACCCAGATGGTAAATAGCCACTAGCTAGGTAGAGCTATTTGGATGTAAATTAATTATATTTAATACATTAAATTTTTATTTTTCAATAATACGAATGACATTGCAAACACAAGAAAGCTATTTGTGGCTGGTAGCTACTATTCTGGCCAGTAAAGATCTAGAAGAACTCCTTCACCTCAGGATGTGATCTTGGACATCACTGACCTAGAGCATTCAAGGCAACAACCTATATAATCACTTAGCAACTCATATAACAAAGTTTTTGGTCAGTGGTTCAATTGACACTATATGAAAGGATCAAAAAGGTTTTGTTATGATATTTCTTATCATCTTCGAATGTGAATTAATAACAACTCAACAAAAAGTAACTAATGGGTGAACACTGGGGGTGACTTCTATTAAACACAGCAAATAGTGTGTTAAGGAAGACGTCAAGACAAATAAAACAAGAATTTAATTTCATAATGCATTAATGTGCTTTGATGATAGCTAACTGCAGAAAATGGACAGCAGGTCACAGTGACCCACAATTTGCAGAATAATAGTCAAGATACTCTCATGGAAAGTGCTACTCTACTGCCATCTTCTGGCTCAAGTTTTATTTATTTATTTAGTGGTTGTGGGGTTTGAACTCAGGGCCTGAGCACTGTCCCTGAGCTTTCTTGATCAAGGTTAGTGTACTACCACTTTGAGCCAAAGCGCCACTTCTGGTTTTTGAGGTTAATTGGAGAAAAGAGGCCAAGGGGACTTTTCAGTCCAGATTAGCTTCTAAATGTCATCCTTAGATCTCAGCTTCCTGAGTAGCTAGGATTACAGATATAAGCCATCATCTCAGGTTATATTTTTAATACAATTATAATTTTATCTTAAGCTATATGAGATTTTTCTCAACATAGAATACTATACTCCTCAATATTCTCCTAAGCAAATCAAAACTTACAGTTTTGTGCATCATTTTATGAGCATAAATAAAGGGCTTAGCCAGTTTTTTTTGTTTAATAAGTGAGATCATTTTATTAGTGCTTTGGTTTGTGATTGTGTATGTGTGTGTATGTTTCTGGCAAAATGAAGAACAAGAATAAGACACTTGCTACCTTTTGTGTGTGTGTGTGAAAATACTGTACAGAGGAGTTACAATTATATGGGCAAGATAATAAGTACATTTCTTATCAAGCATTGTTGCCTCCTCCTTTGTTTCCCCTTCCTATCCCTTCCCCTCTCCCCTCCTCCCCATCTCCCCGAACCCCCCCCACCTCAGGCCAAAGTTGTAAAGTTAGTTTTTCAATATAATGACTTGTACATCTCATTGCTGCAATGGGTCCACCTATATCCCTATTTAAACGAGTTGTTTGTTCTCTTCCCCTCCACAAATTATACCAACATCAAATACAGTGAAAGCAGGGGTTATACCATGTGGGAGGGACATGCAAAGCAACAAAGAAATCATCTTATAAATGTGTTAGAAACAATCACAAGAAAGAAAAAAACATTTGAATACATATCTTAGGGTTCATTTCCCTAACATCAACTTATCTGACCACTTCTGCTTGCCTCAGACATATACTAGTAATTGCAAATAAGGGAAACCATAGGACCTAAGTTTCTTTTGCCCTGGCTTACTTCACTTAATATAATTTTTTTCCAAGTCTTTCCATTTCCTAACAAATGGGGAAAGGTCATTCTTTCTGATGGAGGCATAGAATTCCATTGTGCATATATACTACATTTTCTTGATCCATTCATCTACTGAGGTGCATCTGGGTTGGTTCCATATCTTAGCTATGGTAAATAAGGTTGCAATAAACATAGTTGTGCTGGTAGCTTTAGTATGGTCTTGTTTGTGATCATTTGGGTAAATGCCCAAAAGTGGGATTGCTGGGTCATAGGGGAGCTCTATGTGGAGTCTTTTGAGGAACCTCCATACTGCTTTCCAAAGTGGTTGAACAAGTTTACACTCATCAACAATGAAGTAAGGTTCCCTTCTGTCCACATCCCCTCCAGCATCTGTTGTTATTAGAGTTCTTGATTATAGCCATTCTAACTGGAGTGAGGTGGTATCTCAATGTTGTTTTGATTTGCATTTCTTTTATGGCTAGAGAGGTTGAGAATTTCTTCATGTGTCTATTGGCCATCCTCCTTTCCTCTTCAGAGAAGTTTCTCTTTAAGTCTTTAGCCCACTTATTTATTAGGCAGTTGTTTCTTTGAGGATTTGTTGTTGGGGGATTTAATTTTTTGAGTTCCAGGTATATTTTAAATATGAGACCCTTGTCCATTGTATGGCTAGTGAAGATCTTCTCCCAGTCCATGAACTTTGTATTGATCTTGCTAGCTAAAGACACTTGCTACTCTCTACAAATCCGTATAAAAAATAGAAGAAGTAAACATAGATACTGACAGGACTATGAGATGGTATTTTCTGAAATG